GCTCGATACTCCAATGTGGTTGCTGTGGGTACATTCACATGCGGCGATATGGGCACTGCACCTGTCTGGCCTTGGCCCTGTTCATTGTTATAGTAGAAGCCACCCAGCTGTGGACTCACATCACCGAAGCCGCCGCTAATAAGCGTCACCGTGCTGGCAATGCTGTGCGTCGGACTATATTGCATCTGTTGGATGCGTCCATGGAATGGTGAGCGATTGCTGGCGGGCGGCGGCGGTGGTGGCGCCGTCTCGTGCCTTGGACTAATCATCAGCTTGGGCAGTGGCGATGGCGGCAACACATCTGTATTCGCATCCGAAATGACATAACAATCTGTCATGTTCCAGCTGCTGGTAGCCGCAGCCGATGTTGCCGATGGCAACTGTTGCTCCGCTGGACTAAACCCATCCGTTGGAGCATTGCTGTTGTGTGTCCAGACATGCGCTGCCGGCTTGCGTGGCAGATGCGGCGCCGGCGCCACCTCACCATTGTCTGTGGTGCGCTGCATCGTATGGCTGCTCCAGCTGCTGCCGCCATTGCGCTCCGGTATGATGACCGGCGCAAATACGGAATACGCATGGGGATTATGCTGCGGACTCTGATCTCCGATGCTGGTTGCCGTCGTACTTGCTGTTGACGACGACGACGCCGCCGCCGCCGCTGCTGCTGGTGGCTCCACGTTGGCTGGCGCATTACTGGACAACTTGTTGCTGTTGTTGTTTTGGTTTTGGCGACGAGGTTTGATGCCAGGCGATTTAAGCGGAATGTTCGGCCATTTGCGGGGCTGTAAAATGAAAAAGATTTATTTAGAATTAAGACTGCTCGAGATTTTGTGTGCATAGGAGTTTAGACTTACGAATTTGGGTATCGTTTTGCAGGCGCGCGGCTCAATGCGCAGACTCTCATTGTACAGATAGTCGGACATTTCCTTGTCAGATAGTCCATTGAAGGGATCCAGCTGCTCGAAAAAGTGCCGTATGGTGGGCTCTTCGTTGAGACAATACGGCTGATTCTGGTATTGTTGTATCTCTCCAATAATCTCCGACACTTTTCGCCGTTTCGAGAAATTGATAAGCTCCGTGTTGGTCAACAGATCCGGATTGCCTTCCTCCAGATGCAAAATATTTGTCAGATAACGACCAAAGAATGGCACGCAGGGCGGATTAATGGAGCGCAAACGTTCCTGGTATTTCTTTAAATGATCCTCGCTCAGCTCACGGCACTCGTCCAGGAACTTACGGTGCCGCTCTGGCAACCCATTGAATGTGGCGCGCAAACGAAAAACAGCCGCTGTGCCCATGGCAGCCACAATTGAGAGTATGCCATTGAAATTGTTTAACTCGAGCATGACCATCATCACCTCAATGGCGCGCTGCATAATGGCCAAACGTTCATCGTAGTTCTCCGCCTCCATGATAGACCTTTCAATCCAGCGCGTTACATTTGTGGTATGCTTCATGATCTTTAGCAGATTGGGACTCTTTAGTTCCTTGTCCTTCTTAGTCCACGGCGACCCGACCAGCTCCGATGGCTTTACATTCTTGTACATCTCAAATTCCAGCAGTGTCAGCTGTCGCGCCACCTCCAGCGGATGAAGAGTAAGCAGCGTAATCTCATCATCCGGCACATTCAGATGGTATTCAATGGGCGGCGGATCATGCCCGTAGGCATAGACGATCTTCTTATTGCTTTGTTTATTCTGCACAGAAGAGATAGCCATAAATTAGTACATATTGTAGTTTTTGGTTGGATCTGGTTAACATATGTCTATGATTTTCAATTCCTGAGAGTCTTAACACCATTTTAAATTTAAATTAAATTAATAATTAACTAATTTGCCAAAAATCTGTTAAAACTTTTAACAGATCTGACATGATTGTATAATAGTAGCAGGTTGTTCCTAGAAATTGCTAACTTATTAATAGCATAGGCATCTTAAAAGTAATCTCCTATGGTTCATAGCCACAAGAAATTACATTTAAAATCTGATTAACAAATGGCTGTTAACAGCTGTTATTTATGTTAGTTCAACACCTTACCTTACGATCGACAATCTTGCGCACAGAGTCGACCCATTTACGCATGGATTTGCTGTTGACATCGTTGAGAAAGTGTAACAGTCTGTCCAGCAGTGTCGGATCCTTCTCAAAATCATAAAAATGATGATCCACCCAGTGGCGCAGCACATTTAGCACACGAAACTGAACCGGCTGGACAAATTCCTTGCGATAACGTTTCCAATCCTCGCGCTGCGAGTTCTTAAGCATTTTATCACTGTCCGCCGTTGAGGCAGCTACTGTGGCTGCATCCTTATCGAGATCAGAGTTACCACTACTGCCGCCAATATTATTTGTCTGCTGTTCCTGGTAAACCAGGCTCGGCTCGGGTATTTCAAAACGCTCTATCAGCAACGTGAGCAGCTGCTGTGGTGAGCAAAAATACCGATATGTGGTGAGAAAGGTGCGCACAAATGTTGGATCCGCATAAATGTGATAGGTGAGGCGCTCAATCAGTTTGCACAGTGTGGCGCCTTTGATCATGGGCACCACGCCGCTGTCTCGCTCCTCGAGCACAATATTCTCGGCGCTGTCGGGCACAGCAAACTTGTAAATTTCCGGGCTGGGCATGCGTAACGGATGTTTGCGCTCAATATCCTGCAGTATGCTGTCCAGTATGCGATCTAACATAGATTTGGTATTCACCATTATCAAATCCGCCATCCAATCGTTTTTGTGTTGGGCATTCTTAGCCGACAGCACAATGGCCGGATGCATGCGGGTGATTAGCTCAAAGCTATGCTTCAACTCCTCCGTGTCCGCACGATCATTAATCTCGACGCGACGCATAAAAAACTTCTCCTTCAGCCTGTAATCATAGGCGGTCGCGCCTGCCGAGGGAGTTTGCTTTTTGGTATTCGCTTTGCATAGCACCATGAGGCCATCAAAAAGGAATACTTTACGCTCGCTCCAGATACGCTTGCCTGAGCCGAGTTTGCTGAGTGCATCCTCTGCAAATTATTGTGATTAGTATATCGTATTTTAAAAGATACGCCCATATCGACTTACCGCGTATAAACTCATTACAATTCAGGCCCACATCCTTGTCATCCCAGTGCTCCACTTTGAGCTGGAGCTCGCGTGTGCGCTCAATGGCCATTTGGCGTCGCACGCGACCGCTGACCGGCACAAGTCGCTCCTTGGACAGATTGGCCATCACCTTCTCGAGATCACAGTGCAGCGGATGAAGCAGACCCTGCACCTGAGCAAAACTCTCGATGTCATCCTGGGATGTACTGAGATCCATAAGGTGCTTGATGTAATCAAAATACACAAACGCATGGCAGATAGGCACCAGAAGCAGCTTGGGCAAATAATACTTGACCGCCTCTCGAAAGCCATGTCCCGCTGACATTAATGACAATGCATCGGGCTTGGCCAGCAGGTTGCTGAGTGCATCGCGCGATGCCTGCGAGGTGACATCGTGTGCATATTTCTTATACACATCAAACTCTTCGGCCTCGGCTAGCTCCTCAAAGCAGCTGGCAACGCATGGCGCATTCTGTTCCTGCGACATTTCAATTACATCCTCCAGCGAGCCCAGAAGTGTTACCGTCACCTCATATATATCCATAATGTTTGAGAAGATCGGCTCCAGCTCCTTGGGATCGCGCGCTATCTTGACCAGCTCTTCGCGAAATACCCGTATAATCATATGCAAATCCCGTTGATATTGTTTTTCATCGTTGATCAGCTCCTTCACTGTCTCCTCGTACGTGGCGCTCGCACGCTGCGCCTGCATAGACAGCGGACTGGGCAGGACATTACATTTGAGCTGCTCGCTGCTACGATTGAGCATATCGAGTAGCACACCATCCGCATTGAGGACCACCTCAATATCCTCCTTCACGATTTCGCTATGCGCGATGTTGCATACATAATCCGCAGCCATTTTCAGTATATCCGATGAGATGCACTCGAGCACAGCGACCAAATATGCCGATACGGAGCTATCGATCTTATACTGGAGAACATCTTTCTGCAGCAGCGTATGAACACGCTCTGTGGGCAGCAAACATTTGCGCTTCTTCGAATTGATCACCTCGTTAGCCTCCTTTAGGGCCCAACGATCAAGCGGCGATTTGTTCACCTTCTCCTCCACATCCTGCACCGAGTGTGGCAACGGCTGCGCGCACAATTTGGCCAAGAGGCGGACGCATAGATTCTCCACGTAGAGCAGGGCATCTTCTTTGGCTGTTACGCGCGGATTCACCTGCTCCAACACCTTGCGCAGCGAAGGTACAAATAGGCCGCGCCAACGTGCCGCATTCTCGTTTTTCGTAAAATCATAGCCATCGGTGTCATGCACGGTGGAGGCAATGCCAACGCTAATCCCATGGCTGCCAACGCTGGAAAACATTTCTGCACTCCACACTCACATACATGCGCATACACACACACACATGCACATGTACACGCATACACACGTACACACGCTCTTGTTATTAGTCAACAGCAACGTCTTCGTCGGGCAGCAACATTTTTAGCCTTTGCTTCTGTCCTCTTTATTCGTTTAGTGTTTTTTGCTGCTTGACTTACGCGCCGCGATATCTTTTTGCAACCGAAACGAACAAAAACAAAACTTTGTTTTCACATACTATACACACAATTTTTTTCAATATATTTTCTCTGCAAATTCTGCTTACAACGGCGTTAAGTTAGCAGCAACATTCGTTTATCAGTGCTGGCAAACGTTACACATATTCGATAAGCGATAACTTGCATATTATGCCTCAGCTTATTTAAATTAATATCTATACAAATTTAGTTAATTCCCAGTTTAACGGTAATAATCCAGTGTTTTTGTAGAGAATGTGTGTTGTTTCATGCGCGTCATAAAGGAAAACCGAACTAAAATTATTACATACTCAGATTAGTGAAATAATCCTGATAAGTCTTTGAAAATGGCAAATGAATAAAAAGCAATGAGCTTCCAATAATTTAAATTAAATTCATTAGAGTGAGTAAACAATTTATTACAAACATTATTAAATTGTATAAAAGTGAAGCTGTTAAAATGGTACGAAATTCTTGTTGTGATCAATTTAGTAGAGGAATTTCTAACCCGGTCCGACCCTAAGAAACATACAATCAAAATTTTTATAAAACCATAGCTAAAACTCCAAGGTTTCAAAAATATTGTGCTTATCAATATTACGTTTCATCTGGCCATACTATACTCTCTATCCATTCACGATAAAAGGAAACTGAAGTATGACTTGAAAATGAATACCTTAAGTCACATTGACCACCATTAGAAAGAACACCAAAAACCTCGAAAAGGCAATTATTATCATAATGAATGGTAAACAATGGACCACCAGAATCTCCAGAGCAAGCATCTCCCAGGACATTTTTGGGTCCTGCACAAATTTGTTTATGGCTATTGAAAGATTGATCATTATTAGTACATTTTTGAGGCTCTGCTTTAACTGTTCCAAATAGCAACACATTTGATTGGCTTTTACCATTATATAACCCCCAACCACTAATATTATATTCTCCAGTATGACTGCTACTAGATGTGGATAGGCAGGCTGGCTTTATAAATTTTGTTGTAATATCCGCTTCTTTGTGCAGTTTCAACAGTGCAAGATCAGCATAAGGATCGACAGTAGTATAGTTGGGATGAATAAATTCTGTCACATTAAACCGCGTACCAGAATTATTTATATCATGGGCTCCTAACAGCACATAAGTTTCCCTATAAATAATAATAAATAATAAAATAATATTCAAATAATAAAAATACTCACATATCCGGAAATAGTATTTTATCCACACAATGTGCCGCTGTGAGCACAAACATTGAATTTAATAAAGTGCCACCGCAATGTGATATATATACACTTTGATTTCGATGTTGTATCAAGGCCATAAAAGGATATGCATGCGGTGATAGTTCAGTACCATTCCTAATGAGCGGTTGTATCGAACAAAAGTCTTTAATCTTTGTAAATTCCAAGCATTCTGGAATATAATAAGTTAGAATTCGAATAATTGTTCTAGAGATATATGTCCGTTCCATAAAGTATATATTCTTGACCAGGGCAGCGAGCTGAGTCGATATAGAATATATTCTTTACCAATGTTTTTATAATAGCTAGAGACATCAATGTTACTGTTTAGATTCTCATGTTGTATACAAAGAATAAAAATATCAAATCAAAGTGTAAATATTTTAAAGCTATGGTTTTTCAAGAAAACGTTACTAGAATTCCATCGCATGCCTGGAATTTTGAGCTTAAAATCTATTTTTCACTCAGTAATTAAAAAACGAATATATATTACTTACTTTTTTCGGCAATGGTTTTTTTTTCATCGTTCCAACAGCAAACTATATTATCTTCATCACTGCAATATTTAACATCTTTATCTGATTGCATATACATTACAGCATCTTTTAAATCTAGACATTCATCGAAGGGGACACAATCGTGTTCACAGTCTTGAGTATCGTCTGTATCGGTTGGAAAACAATTAACCAACGTAATCGATATTAAAAACAATATTTTCAGACTATTAGAACTCATTTCAAGCTTTGCACCACAGATACGAGTCTCAAGTGTAGCCGAAACTGTAACGCATTGTGTCTATTTAATTGCAGGCATGCTATAAAATGTCAATTATGTTAATTACACAGCGTTCTGAATTTAATTCGGCTTAAGGTTAACCTTAAAAAAAAACCAAGTAAGAGGCTCTAGTGGGAGTACCCGACTAGGGGATACCCTGAACCCTCTTCTACCAACGCCAAATGTTGTTTTAGTAGTAATAAAAATAAATTTAACAAAAAAATTTGTTTTCTCGGTAGTGTTTGAACTGCCGGCTCCTCTATTCAACAGCCACCCCAATGATTAAGAAAAAAAACGAATAGCAGCACAGAAAACAATACAATCGCAATTGCAATGCAGTTGATAGAATTCAAAGTAGCGCATGAATGGATGTGTGAACATGTACATATGTATACAGAAATTCCTGCAATTTGCGCTTGCTGCTGCACGTGTTTGCAGGCCAAAATACATTTTCATTCCTGTTTCTTAACCGATCTTGATAAAATTTTCAGTAGAAGATCTTATTATACCATAAAATATTTGTGTATTCCAAAAATGACAATTGCATTTAAATTGTGGCTTAATTAGTTAGACAATACAAGTTTGTTTACTAACAAGATTTATAGCTTTATGGTAGCGGGGAAGTGGCGATAGCTATAAAATGAAAGTTACTTGATATATATATATACTATTCTAGGAGCTACATGTCATGTTTGGTGACTCCAGCTCATATTGTTTGCCGAAATTGCTCAAAAAACAAGATTTCGATATCGATATTTATCGATTAATTGGAAACGGGGCAAGTTATCGAATATCGGAAACAAACTCGATCTGCGCGGCCACTAGGAGGACCTACAACTACAATTTCAAGTCTCTAGCTCTTATAGGTTCTGATATCCTTGCGTTAATACATACGGACAGACAGACAGACGGACATGGCTAGATCGACTCGGCTATTAATGCTGATCAAGAATATATATACTTTATGGGGTCGGAGATGCTTCCTTCTGCCTGTTACATACATTTGTACAAATACATTATACCCTGTTTACCCATTTTGAATGGGTTCAGGCTATAACAATTGCACAAATACATTATTCCCTTTTTATCTATTTTTAATGGGTTATACCCTTACCAAAAGCAAAAAAAAAAAGCGATAAAAATTATATCTGTCCGTTGACTTCTTGTGGTTCCAAATATATACATATACACTCGTGTTTACTCAGATAAATATTTTGCATACTCCCACTGGAGTAGCAAAAATGAAAACATTTCTAAATATATTCTACGGTTAGTTTTTTTTTTTTAATAGAGAGAATTTAAAGAAAGTCCGATCTGGCATATAAACTTGATAAAAAGCGGGTCTTCTAGCATATCTTTCCTGAAAAATGTATATGCGTACAATTATTTGCTTATGTATTTTTATTAGAACATTAGTTCGCGTTTATCCCAATATTTAGATTTTGTGTATCTGTTATCTTTCCAGCAGTGTTCCGCGTTGTTTTTTCTGCGGCGGTGGCATTTCTTCCGCCTTGGGCTTGGCGCCCAGGTCAGCCAATTTGCCACCTTTGCGCTGCAGCTGCTTCTCAATGATGCGCGCGTTATTGGCATAGCTATCGGCTATCTCTCGCTGTAATATGGAAAGTCAAAATATGTATTATACAAAATAAAAGGATTGTGACTATTTTTATACCGCCTCAATTTCATCCTCCTCTTCGTCTATGGTGGATACCGTAACGGAGCTAAATTTGCCCATATTCTTGGTGTGACGCGTGACCATAATCTTTTTGCCGCTGGCGTCCACTATTCCCGAATCCTCACTGCTGGGAGCCGCTGTCGTGCTTGGCGGCGCACTCGCGGCATTAGTTGTGCTGCTGGCTGTTTTGGTTTTCGCCTCCGCTGCCAACAGCATTGCCAGTGGCTTCTCACCTTTGTTGCGCACCAGCGCATTGCTCATGACAAAGGTGACATGGGAGTCGGAATTGTGTCGATAGTACAATGGTAAGCTGCAGTTACGGCACTGTAAATTAGTTTTTTTTAGTAATATCATATTTATAAGCAATGAAATCTCCATTAACGAACAGCTGCATATTGCGAAACTCTATGGGCGAGCAAATAACAAAGCAGACAGCAGTGCTAGAGTTATTTAAAATTGCAAAAATACTGGGCAATTTGTTAACATAGATTTTCCTGAGTTTTCCATTTTTGTAAACATGACATCTAGTCTTAAGTCTCGAGCCGCGGCTGTTCGCTTAAGGAAGCTTTAACTATATTTCTATTCATTAATACACACGCTGTATCGATACTGCTTCTCAATGCCCTTGCCCTTGCGGCGTATGTAGATCATTCTAGGCGCCGGGTTGTAAGTTAATTTATTGGCATGTTCGTTGGCATCAATAACTCGCGCATTATCTGCTTCACGCAGCGGCAACTGCTCTAATGTGCAATCTGTCATACAAATTTGTAAATTAAATAATGATTTTGAATGTAAACACATTTGTACGCACCCAAAATAAGAGACATTTTTCCACATAAGCAATAGTATATGTTTAACGGCTTCTCCTCAGTATATTCCTCTTGATCTTTTGTATCCGAGCAAACAATGCTACGCGAAACAACTTTAGGCATATTATTATTTTTTTATTTAAATAACACAATTTGCTTAAATTGTGGCTACAACCACTAACCATACAATGCATAGACTTGTCAAACGTCGGAATAATCGGATACCGATAAATCGTCAACGACTGAGCCCTATGGGTGTCCGCGACCATTTTAGTGTGCCCAGACAAAGTAAGACTGCTGAGAGTGGCATTGTATGGTTAGTGGTTCTATATTTAAATTGTTTGTATACATACGAATTAATACATGCCTATCGATAAATTGAGCAGTTTCTTAACTAAAACAATCGAGTGGTTCGAATTTAAACTTAGGCCTTTAATGGACTTTCGTTTTAAGCTGGCGCCATTTAAGGACGAATTGGGTTTAATTTTGGTTTAGGTTTAAAATTTTACTTAGCGCTAACTCCAGTTCCTCTTTAATTACAGTTAAGTTTACTGTTTTTCCCAGCTGAATGAGCAGCTGATCCACTAGAAACAGCTGAGTGTGATTCAATTAGCCACAACGTGGACGCCACATTAACCCCACCACGTATGTAAATATATGAATATATACAATAATTACGAGTACACAATATAAATTTATGAATGGAGTTGCCAAAACAAAGGCCACACCATGACATCGGAGCTCTCTTCGCAGACGCGCAGGACTTTGTACGCATCAGTGCTCCCATGGTCAGATACAGTAAGCTAGAGTTTAGAAGATTGCTTCGTCAGAATGGAGTGCAATTGGCCTTTACTCCAATGATGATTTCCGATTCGATAAATAACAGCGAAAAGGCCAGGCAAAACGAGTTTACCACTGGCCCAGATGACCAGCCGCTCATAGCACAGTTTGCCGCCAAGGATGCAATGGAATTTGTCACTTCTGCGCAGCTCGTTTATCCTTACGTGGACGGTGTAGATCTTAACTGCGGCTGCCCACAAAGTTGGGCCATTGCCAAAGGCTACGGCTGTGGTCTGTTGCGCCAGCCAGAGCAAGTTCGGGATGTTGTCCAATGCTTGCGGCGAACGTTGCCAACGGATTTTAGCGTCTCGGTCAAGATGCGTTTGTTGCAAAGCAGCGACAGCCAGACATCATTGCAAAGAACGATCCAGCTGGCACAGCAACTGGAGCACTGTGGTGTCACATTCTTGTCGTTGCATGGACGTACGCCGTCACAGAAGCATTCCAAAGACACGCTTAACGTTGCGGCCATGGCTGAGGTGTGCCAATCGCTGCAAATTCCCCTAATAGTCAATGGTAATGTGGAAAGCTTTCAAGATGCCTGCGAACTGCATACCAGGACACATGCGGCTGGCGTTATGGCTGCACGTGGATTACTCGCCAATCCGGCGCTCTTCAACAGCGAATATCCGCAGGCCACAACGACTCCCAAGGCCTGTGTGCAGCAGTGGCTGGACATCGCCGAGTCGGCTGGTGACCACTTGCAGTTTCAGTGCTTCCATCACCATCTAACCTTTATGTGGAGCAGCGAAATGAAACGCGCATTGCGTGTCCAGTTCAATAGTCTGAACAGCAAATCGCAAGTGCTGCAGTTTCTGGCCGAGCACTATGATCTACGTCCAAATGCCACCAGTTCAGCGCAGCCGGCTACCTACACAAATTGTACGTACACCCATTTCACACCGCCCAAGCATGCCCGGCACCTGGCTGCCGAGGCGGAGGAAATCTGTTGGAATTCAGAGAGCGATGGCAAATATTTTACAGAGTTTAAAACCCAGCAACAGTCTAGCGAAAAGTCCGAGGATCTCGACCTAGGCGGTCTGTTTGCAGACGAGGACTGATGTTTGTAAAATAAATAAGCTAGTAATAAGGTTGCTTGTGGCATTGACTGCTTTGAAAGCCAAAATTAGTTTAAGGCCGTCATTAAATATACATAAAAACTAAATTGAACTGTAAATATTGTTATTTTCAATTGTGTTGCAATTCGATTAGAGCGAATTTTATTCTCGCCGATTCTAACAGAGTTACTTAACAGCGCACTGTTTCTTCTGCCGTTACTCAACTCTTAAATCTGTTAAAGTCTTAAAGGTATTTAACATGTAAGTATAATTTACCGCAAAGTGGTACATATAACGTCGCCCGTGTAGGCGAATATTGTAACTTGATTTGCTATTTAAATTCTAATCGATATTCGATAGTAAAAAGTTATTGGTACATAAAGAGTTGTTCATCACTAGATACAAAGAAAGAAACCAAAACAAAGTCTCGAAAATGCGTCGCCGGGAACTACAAACTATACAGCTGAAGCTCTCCGAGCTAAAGGAGTATGAACAGGCCAAGCTGGAGCGTGCCAAGGCTCGACAGCAGGTGCCATCGCCACGCACTCCCACACCCACCTCGGACAGCGACATCATGTTGCTGCCGTCAAGCAGTGTGCCGACCATTCTGCTAGCCAACAACAGCACCAACGCGGAGGATGAAGCTCAGCCAGGTACCAAGGACAACGCCGCATGAAGCAACAGACTCAACAGTTTCGCTTAAACTATATGGTAAGTTGACATTTATAGTTAAATACATTTTCACATTCACATTTAAAATTAGTACACATTGTTGAGGCTGCTGCCGTTGTTGTTGTTGTTGTTCTGAAAACGCACCGTCTCAAAGCCATCGACGAGTATTTCACGATCCTCGGTTTGCTGGCGCTCGCGCAACCACTGCTCTCGCACCGGCACATAGCGCCGCAGTCCCGGCCACTTGGGCCAGCAGCGTCGCTTATACAGAAGCCAAACCAGTGACAGGGAGCACCCAAACAAAAAGCAAATCACGAATATGCTCACGCCATGTACATGCGAGTGAGTCACCTCCTCGTCCTGTTCCTCTGCTGGCTTCTTCATCACAGCATCATTATCTATCTGCGGTTTGTCAGTAGCTTTTGTTGCTGGGATCATGCTCTGCTCCTTGTTGCACCACGGTACAGGCACATAGCTTGTGATTACATCGCCAGCTAGCGAGTGGACGCGTACGGCGCACTCGTTGTAGGTGCCGTTTAATTGGGCCGCATGCACATAGTTCGCCTGGGCATGAGCTCGTCGTGTCAGGCAGCTTAGGTGCGTTTCCGCTACCTGCTCGGACACATTGTTGCGGTAGTGCAGAACGTAGTTGACAATCGCCCCGTTCGGCTGTACCGGCTCTGTAAAGCGAACTATGTACTCGGTTGTCTTGGGTACACGGCATGCGCTCAGCTCCAACACCAGATCCGCGCCCAATGTGAAATTTGTGCGTTCGTTCACTATCGCTGAGCTACTGCAGCCGAGCGAGTTGCATGCCTGCAATTGCAGTGAGTACAAACGATATCGCTCCAGCTTGCGCAGCTCATACACCGTTGTATTGGCCGCTAAACGTAACTGCTGCCCGAGCTTCGTCTCTGGGGCCGGACAGTTGCCGGGCGCATCCAGGTTGCAGCGATACATGGCGGCCATTTCTTCTATAAAGTGCTGATCATCGGCCAGTTCCGCCTGACGCGCACAGCATTCGTCGTAGTCAAATTCTTTTAGCGAGCGCCAACGCGCTCCGTCCATGTCCTGCCACTGAAACGCCGGTTGCCGGCAGTAGTCGCGTTGATCAATATAGGCCGCATCGTCGGTCAGATTGTAAACGCTCAACATATAATAGTCATGCTCCTGGCCGCTAAGGCGTAGCGTCAGCATATTGTCCGTTTTCTTGGTAACGGCCAAAGTTGGAGGCTTTGGTATGTCCGGTTGCGTTTCCACGTAGATCATATCGCTACGCGCTTCCTGATGGACATCGCCACCAAAGATGCGCAACAGGCAGGCGTAGCGTGTATGCGGCTCCAGTTGCTCCAGTCGATAGCTGTAGTACGTGCCATTATCTTGTAGGTCGTCCACAAATAGCAACAGACGCTGCCAATTGATGCGCGTACAGACGGGCGCCTCTAACTCACTCTGTTCTGCATAAACTGTGCCCAGCGGCACTGTTCTGTAAATTAGTTCCAGCTCCACACTCATCTGCGATTTTGGCCACCTTAGCTGCAGCGTACGATGGGAGCGTGCCTATAAAGATAGATAGATATATAAAGTCTCTTACATCACAAAAAACGAAACACCAATTAAGATTATGAGTGTAAGTGAGTAAGGGATCAAATGAGAATCGCATAGAAAGGCGATCCATATGCAAGTGGGAGAAAATCAGAAGACAAGAGTGACAAATGGAAGCCAATAGGAAACAAGTCCGTTTGGAGAGCTAGCCAGCTTTATAGACCAAAATGCAAAAGCTTATTGTTTTTCTTTTTGATTCAGACTAAATTTGGGTTGTTGAGAATTGCAGAGAAGGGACGTTTCTTATTAGGCCGAAGAAACCTTATTATTCACACATATAAATACTTGGTCTGAATATGGTTTACAAAAGCTATATTGTGAGATATGGTTCCTACTCTAGATAAGGTGGTCGGACATGTAGGTTTCTTGAAGCGCAGACAGGTAGTACTCACCTGGACAGACAACTGCAGCTTGGCCGGGCCGCAAAGGACTTCCTGATCGCTGGTCTGCAGCGAGTCCATCACCTTGTCGTGTGTTACGCTCAACTGAAAGTCCTTCATATGCTTGTTGCACAGCTTATTGTTGCGGTGCATAAACATGCCGCCATTAACAAACTCCAGGTCCACCGCCGGCTCCCACAAGTCGGTCAGCTGCTTGTTATCGTACAGTATAAAGGCGTAGTGTCGATTCTCTAGCGGATCGCCGTGTATGAGGCGCAGATTGCTAAGGAACTTCAGGCTACTCAGCTGCGAGGATCTAATGATTAAATAAACATTAGATTGAATACGCCTATTCTGCTTTGACGGAACACGCACCGGTAGATCTTGAGGTGTCCACGTATCTCACGTATACTGCTAAAACTGCGCTCCAGCTGCTCCTCATTGACTTGATTGCGTATGGTGATGATGAGGCTGCCGTTGACAATCTGGCAACCGCGCAGATCCTCCGCATCGGCCAAATTGTATATGGCAATCATGCCATCGGATTGCTCCGCAGAACAGACGCTCACGCAAGGCTCCAGCGGATCGCAGCGCACGCATTCCGACTTGGCATCGGCCTTGTGGCCACTCGGGCAGAAGGCGACGCACTCAAAGCCAAACGTAAAGTGCCCATGGTGGGCCACACACTCGTCACGGGTGTAACAGCGTTGATACTGCTCCAGCACATACCTGCAAACGGACTAACTCTAAGTGGCAATCAACAAGACGCCAAGCCGGCGTGGCTCAGCCCCTCACTCACTTGTCGGGCGGGCAACGTTTTACGCAAACCCCGGCATTGGTTAGTCCGCGACAGACAAAACAGCCCGCGGCCGAGGAATTGTAGCAGCCACCCAGGCACTCCTCGTGGCAGTCGTCTAAGTTTCTGCGGAACAAGGGGAAAAAGCAAAAAAAAATCCAATTAAATTTGTAATTCACTACAAAATGCTTCTTTTGTAGAGCTACTTAGTATATCTTCTTCAAATGCTGCCTCTAAAATCAGACTAATATTTGAGTGTTAAAATTACAAGAAAGCTCTGAAAAGAAACTGAATATACTATATTTAACAAGTAAGAGCCTCTAGTCGGGAGCTACCGACTAGGGAGAACCCTAAACCCTCCTCTACCAACACCAATTCATGCTTCAGCAGAATAAGAATAAATTAAAAAAAAAAAACGAGTTCCTTGATAGGTCTCGAGGGAGAGATTAAAATAGCAGCATAGAAAACAACACAATCGCAATTGCCATGCTGTTGATAGAGTTCAATAGAGACATGTATGAATGTGTGAAGCTGGGGCTAGCTGCCCCAACCATGTGGGCAGCCAAAACACATTGTTTTTAATAACTTTGGTGTTTCTTAACCGGTCTTAAAAACATGTTGATTTATAGCTATGTGCTGATAAGAGAATGTTGGCGATAGCTATATAATTAAAGATATATATACATATATATATACTATTTTAGAAGCTACATGTCAGGTTTGGTGACTCTAGCTCTTGAAATCTAGAGATATTAGCTCAAAAAACACAAATTTCAAGCCTCTAGCTCTTATAGATTCTAATATCCTTCTGTTCATACCTACGGACGGACGGACGGATCGACTTGGCTGTTGATGCTGATCAAGAATATATAAACTTTATGTGGTCAGAGATGCTTCCTTCTGCCTGTTACATACATTTTGCACAAATACATTATAGCCTTTTTACCCAATTTAAATGGGTTCAGGGTACATAAGTATACATACTAGTTTCTAAAGGGTCAAAACTGTTATCGAAGTTCGTAGCTACTGTCGAATTAATGAATTCTTTTTTAAAACAGGTAACAGATAAAAGATAATGATGAGCAAAAGTCAGTACTAAATTAACAACCAATAGGTATGGAGTATAGCTATTAAATCGAAAAGTAAATTCATATGCCCACCGATCATGATGCACCACATTATCATTCTCAAAGCTCTGGCACGTAATATTTGACCAGCAATACTTGGATGGACAGCCATTGCAGGTGGCGCGTTGTGTGCAGTTGTTGGATCCAAGCACGATGTGATTCTCCCCGGCGCTCAATGTGAGTCGATCCCAATTGACCTGCAAAGCAATAGCTGAGTGAGCATATCAAGTGGCCAGTCACAACTACTTACTCTTTCCAGTTGACAAAGCTTGGGGCAGCTACCGATGTAGACGTGTCCGCGTTGAATGGCCACCAGCGATTTAAATTCCAGCTGAAATTGGCAAATGGAAATTAACAAAAATGTTTATTCTCTATTAGCAGGTATTCCCGAGCCTTGCTCGGATGTGAAACATGTCTTAAATGATTTTCCATAAAGTCTTTGAAAATGAACTTTATTCCTCAAATCTTTGGCCATTTATACCAAAGAGGAGTGGATTTTCCGAAAAGTGTGAATCGCCCCCCAAATGAATTTGAACAAAGATCTTTGAAAATGAGTTTTAGGCCGATCGGGTGTAAACAAAATAGTTTCACACTTTTCCTAATCTCCACCCCGCTTGGATGAGGAATGTATTGTAATCATCGTTGTGTCCGTGTCCACTTACCAGCTGTAGATCAGGCATGCTGGTCACGCCCAGGGCATAATTAAGGAACAGCCGACGGCCGCGTATCACAGTAAGATTGGGAAACATATGCCTGATGCCAGTCAAGTTGCGCACTTCAGTAAATATCATAAAGTCCGTGATCTCGCGCAATTTGGGAAACGAATACGCGCTATAATTGCATTTTTGACTGGGTATCAGCGTTATCATCACATAGCCAGTAACAACTGTACAGTTGTCTAATAGACTCATTTTGTTGCACTCGTTGCGTATGTCAATGCTGGTGCACTCCTTGAACTCGGCCGTCGTATTGGGTAGCGTCGATCCCATGGCCAAGACGGGGATGGCAGCAAGCACTAGCAGCATGTGCCCAAGGTTCGGCAACATGTTGCCAATTGTCTGATACTTGTGCGTGCTTATAATTGTTGCTGAGACTGTTGTTCTTCTTGTTGTTGTGGTTGTTGCTGAGACTGTTGTTCTTGTTGTTGTTGCTGCTGTTTACTTCGGCGTCTTTTCAACATTGCTCAGCTTTCTGCTCTATCATCAGGTTTGTTTATATGGTGTATTTTACAGTTAGTGCACGCTTGCAGTTTCTCTTGCTCTTTAGCACAGTTTGCCTAATTAGCGCGATGCCTTTGCGATCGATCCCCCGAATTCCCGATTAGCCGCAATTTATGAGTTTCATACCCTGATATTTTCCACACTATCTCCAACGTAAATCGCACAAAGGGTTTCAGCTAATTTTTGGTCACTTTTTTTTCTCGCTTAGTTGTCTAAAAAATCGCACGAACAATCACACACACACACTGACACAGTTAAAACATTTGTTGGAGCTCGTCCTAAAATCACGGCATCGATTTTATTTAAAATGAAGTGCTCAAGGGTAAGCCACGAATTGATCTGATTTCATTATTGCTGTACATTAAGTGCCGAGTCTTTCCATTGGTAAGGTTGCCACTTATTTCAGAGCCCAAATTTTAGTTGGATAATTTTGGAGATGAAACTTATGCAATACTGAAGGAATTTTTAAATCACCGAAATCATAAATTGAAGGCTTTCAGAATAAACATTAATGTGAGAAAAATTATTAATAAAACTCGTAGCACTAATTAGATTTAAACACTTTTCAATGCGTCCTGCTCCCGGTTGTGTCTATTAAGAAAATCAAGCAAATGGACCTAGATCCATAATTAATTATATTCCTATGCCTAAAAATATAGAAGATCGTATTATTTACAAAATTAAATATGGTGATTTAATTAAGTTGATCTAAGATCAATAGAATTACATTGATCAAACAATATTGAATTTAACAAAAACTTTTAATCTTTTAATGTTGTAAAACACTGTTTCACTAAAAAAAAACAAAATATAAAAGTTTATTTTTTTACCCTTTTTTTTATAAACGGGCGTTTTTGGATAAAATGTATAATTTATTATATGCCACTTGAAAGTTTAACAAATTTTTGAATATTTGGATTTGCATCATTTCAGATTGCCATCATCACAGGAGCAAAAAGATTCTTTGGAAACTAAATATTTATACCAAAACTCAAAGGTTTTCGCAATACCTTGAAATAGCATTAAAAACTTTAGTTATATTTAATTTTGTACGCACTTTATGTTTAAGTTGAAAGAATTCATTTATATTTATTTAACATTCAGCTCGATCATGATTTGTATTATATTGATAATAAAAGAAACTGGGACTTTGAATTTCAAGTGTAACGCTCGACAAGTTTCAGAGACGAATTCGCGACGATCTCGACGGCTCGACGACCAATTGCCGACTGTGTTGGCCAGCGGAAGCCAAAGAGTCTGGGCTGTCGTGCAGCCCGGAACGTAACGATCTGTGCGAGCCATCAAATTGATTTTTTATTTAGTGCCTCCCCGCGCACCCGGTACACTGCGCATCGTGCCTGCGGAATGTGCGGGCCTTTTGTCATGTGTCTTACGGCATTCGAAGGCAGACCGTAAATTAATTTAAAGCGTTTGATTTGTCGTCGATGTCGCTCACGTACTGAGTAGCGTACAGAGTTAATTTGTCATCTCTGCAGCTGTGCCGACGGCTCTTACATAATGGCGCACAAATCGAATGTAATTATATTAAGTATTCGCTCAAGGTTATAATTTCTCTCAGTGCACTTGCAGCCTTTCCATTTGTCCGGTTGCTGTTCTTGGCTTTTGTTGCTCCTGCCAAACAGCCAGCTGATTCGCTTGGCTCATAAAAACAGCTGAGTCCAATTAGCCACATGGCACCGACATTACGGGACCTGCACACACACACACATACACAAATGACACACACACACGCACACGCACACAAATCAAGACTGACAACTCCCATGCATCAAAGCAGCTGAGACCAAAAGCTATTAACGTTAACGAGAGAGATGAAAGATGGACAAATAAAAAGGGCTTCAACCCAAAAACAATTTTCCAGCTGGGCAAAACTTTGTAAAAGGCAATAAAAAGATGAAAAATTGTGTGTTAAATTTCGGACAAGTATCAGGTTAATTAGTAAAGCAGGGAATTATGAAAATAAATTATAAACAATTTTATTTTCCATCTAAAAATTCTTAAATTATATTTTATAGACTTAAGCTCGCTTTCCTAAAATGCTAAATAAATCAAAAATTGTTTTTATTTCTGATTGAACATACATAACTATGACAGCTATCTAGTTCGAATAGCTCCGATCCGGACAATTCCGGAAATAATTGATTGAGCATTGACTCTAAGACTTGGAATGTAGACAAATATAGTTTTGGAAGTCGTTTTTTTTATAAAAACGTACAATTAAATTCCGTAAAAGTTCACTCAAGTTTCGAAAATATAAATACAAATATTGTGAGCTGTTTTCTCTGCAACGTATTATTTTTTTTTCCTGAATGAGAACTTTATTTGTTTGGAGGCCCCGTTTCTCGTGTCAAAGTTCAATTAATTCAATTAAATTATATGTGTGCGTGTAGGTTTTATATGGCCCGACGCATGTGAACCCATCCATCAATTTACATAAAATGAACACGCTCTCGTTTAAATATCAGAAAAATAATAGTTTAGGTTACTTTGCCAAATAAAACATATACCAATTCTACATACATACATATATAAATACCATATATTGATGTACATTTAAGTTTTACGCTTAGGTTAGGGAAATGTCTGCTGGACGAGGATGCTGGCTTATTCCGGTGGCGTGTTGTCGTGTATCCACTCCTGGAAGTAGACCAAGCTCGTGTATACGCTGGGTATGCGAAGTCCGCCGCAGTTGTCTGAGCCAAAGGACATGATGCCGATCTGCAACAAATACAATCAGCTACGAATTCATGTCAGTCAGTTAATGACAGGTAGTATACCTGTGAGAAGATGCCGTTCTCTTGGATGAACAATGGCGCACCGCCAAAGCCTTGACAGACATCCTTGCCCTCGCCGCCGGCGCACATCCATTGGCCCTCAATTGAATTGGGCGATTCGAGTGCGCCCGTTGAGCCATAGTTGCGCAGGCACAGATCCCAGCTGGTCAGCGGTACGTCCAGATGCGACATCTCCGGCTGGCGTATGCTCGACGTGGACATCTTGCCCCAGCCGGCAATGGTCGCCCGCTTGCCCACCACCAAATTGGCGCGTGTCTTCTGCAAACAGATCGGCTGGGTGGCCACTGCAGCGGGGCACGGGGAGAGAAAAACAGATCAAATCGGTTCAGTTGCAATTTGACTTTGAATGCAGCAAACACGTATCGGCCATTAAAGGAAAAGGAGGCTGGTCTCCGGCTCGCAACGTTGGCCTTATTGATTGCCCTCACGCTCACGTACGCCTATAAAATATTATAAAGCCATAAAGCCACCTGCAAACAAGCTGGCCAACAATTAAGGTAACGCCCCCTGATGGCTGCGGTATTTTGATTTTCGTAGCTAATGTGCTGTTTACGAGTTGCCTGCACCTCGACGCTGCTGGCCCTTATTTGTTCAGATCGCAATGATATTGACGCTTTAAGATTCAATTTAAATTTATGATTTTGATGAAAACATCCGAAGGCTGTTCGCATAAGATGCATTCCTTTCGCACAAGACGCTCGAACGTGAACTTAAAACAAGTATATCAAATCACAACTATCAAAACGTGAATTATATGTCTTATAATTTCAGGGCGAGGGTCGAAGATCATAGGAGTATTGTAAGAAGACAACGTGTATTTATATAAATATAACCATTTAAAAAAAATCAATTAAAGTTTTCATATACTTGGTGTTCGTTAAGAAATTGCAATTCAAACTAATCTCAACACAGAGGTAAAACCTAAATTAAATTATTTTATGAAACAGCACATTCAGAAATACAAACTTCAAGAATCGGATGCTCAATATTCGGATTGCAATCGTTAGATAATTATAGTACTGAAAAAACCAAAGATCTATTGCCTTTGTTTTTAGATCTTATAGTAATCCTATTCGTAAAGTTCTTTTATAGAACTGTCATTTTACATTTCTGGACTTTGGAAATTTCCAATCCAGCTTATGGTATAGAAGTATTTTTTTTATTTTGCCCAAAAAAAATGTTATTAATATTTTATCCTAAATAATTATTGCTATTAGTATCGTCTTTACTGAATGGTTCAATTTAAGAATTTTAAGCAGCGAAGACCTAACCTCAAATCCAGGCTAATCCAAAGTCCAAGCTTATTGAAGTGTGTCTAAAATCGAAAACTAATATTGGGTAGCCGGCTAACGGTTGATCCGCGTTTAGCCTATTACTTGCTAGACTAAACACACGCCAGAGCTTGTCGCTGGCCAATTAAGTTAACCCCGGAACCCCTCCCCGGAGCGGGCAATGGAAATGGAGCCCTAACCTCAAATTAGCAAACATGCAATATATGTACATATAAGAGTCGTAGTTGACATTATTGAACTTGGCTGCGAGTGCGAGTCGAAAATAACACAGAGCAAAACGATTTTTAATTAACGTTGACACTGCGAAGCGTAACCAGCCCTCAGTCCGAGTCGCCCGGCCCGTACCGGCCCCTCCCTGTTCCCTTTCCCCTCGCTTACCCGAGTAATTGAGCGGTGTTTTGAGCACCAGCAGCGCAATGTCATGATGATATTGGCCTTGCTTATAGTCTGGATGCACAATCACATGGCTGATCGCATGATTCACAGACCGTGGTGCGCAGAAGCCAGTGCTGGCGCAGTCCGGATCACTGGAGGTGTCATACTCGCCAACGCGCACCGATGAGCTGCAGGCGAAAGTTTAGATGCACCGCGATATACACATATATGTACATACAGATATATATATGGACACAAGCGAATATATAACGATTGGCATACTTACAGCCGGTGGCCATCGGCCTTGGCCAACGCACAATGGGCGGCGGTCAGGATGACACGCCGGGCAATGATCGATCCTGCACACGGATAGGCAAAGGCGCCCGTGCTTATGTCTGCAATGGGCGACTTAAAGACAACCGATTTCGATCAATTAATTGATTGATATTCACTTACGCTTAAAGCCCACGCGAGCCACAAAAGGATACGAGCCGAGTCCCTTGTAGAAATGTCCCTGCACAAGCGACTTGCCGCACACCTGATTCTTCTCCAGTGGACTGCTCGGGCAGCACACGTAGGGCATCTCCTCGCCACCGCCGCAATAAAGCGACTTGTCGCCGTAATAACAGTTCTTCGCCACCTCATAGATCATTGCCGTGCAGTCGTGCAGCGGCGTACACTCGGTGCCAAAGGAGCACTCCGTATTCGTGCCCTGGCCACCAGCGTAGGAGCGAGCGGCCACCGAGTGGGAAGCACTCGAATTCCCATTGGACGCTTTTGCATAGGACGGTGGAATAATTAATTTCTCTGTGGAGCAGTAAAAATATTTTTAAGGATTCATATCTATCTAATTTTATGCCTGATAAAGGATAAAGGATGTGTTATAAAATGATAACAAGGATTTGGCATGATTCGGATATCTTTTTCTCTATTTGCTGAATACCCAAGAATTAGTTTAAATATATATTAATAAATTTAAATATATAGCACATGCATCTTAGTTTTTTACAAGGATAACTACTAGAGTAAAAAAAAATTCTTAATATTTCCTTGGTTAGAACTGAACTAATGAAAACCTACCAAATTCACCGGCTTCTGTTCGGATAAGAGCAAATATATTATAAAATATGAATAATCGGTAAAGCGATCGCATTGCTATTACACTGGGCAAAACACTTGCGTTATTCAAAAATTTTGTATATGGTATATCACAATAAATAGAGCTCTTGTCGTAACTCCCGTTCCAGGTAAAGTTCTATTACTTCCGATCCGTGCGCGTTCACACAACTTTTTCGACTAAAAGCACACAACGTTGGACCTGGCCAGTAAAGATCGCGCCGCCAAATGAAAACGAAATTTTATGGCCAGTTGTGGGAAGGGGGAGGGGGGGGGGTGGGCTGGCTGCTGCTGTCGGTTACTAACTGATTTTTATGACAGTTTGGTCTCAATTCGCGACCATTTCCAGGCTGTCGTTGTGTTTATTTATTTGTAGATAGTTTCTATGACTCCGATAGCCGGGCACGCAGATGGCTAAAATGTGTTTAAAATGTGTGATATGTGGATCATATGTGCGGTCATTAGTTAGTTAGATGTTAGCGGCTTTTATGCATGTGGCTAGTTGCAGTTTGTATTATTATTATTTGCCCGCCACACATAATAGAAATGTGGTTGGCACTTACATACATCTGGGTATATATATAGGTATATATATATTTGTAGGTTTATAGATGTTATAGATAGACAAGTCTATGGCTGACAAGGCGGGGCAAATGATGCGGCAGTTAGTTGCACTTTTTTTTTTGCAATTGTTAACAATTTATAAGCTATGCATTAAATGATTATTTAGAATTCATTCGACATTTGAAAATTAATTTCGGTTTTCGTACTACTTCTAGATACAACTTTAAATAAATAGATAGAAAATTTGAAGTACAAATATATTTAGACTATATTTAAAGCAAAAGGAATGTAAATATATTTATGGAAATAAAGATTTGCAAATATTTGTAAGACTTATTTGGAAATTTTTAAATAATTGCCAACTGGCAAAAAAAAAGTAGCTAATAATAATATATGAGTTCTGAATGTTGACTAGGTAAAACTAAGCTATGAAAGCAGAATTTATCTAAGGTCTAAGGCGCGTAGCTTATTTTTATTTTTTTTTTAATATTGACACAGTTTCCGCTTTATCTTTTTAAATAGTTATATCTATTAGATTGGAGAAGTTCTTTTTAATAAAATGAAAAATTGTTTGATTGTAGCGCACATTTCACTTCCAATCAGCCGAAACTTTCTTCGGGCTGCGAGTGTGCTGTTATTTAAGTTAATTTTACTTTTGTTTTTTTTTTTTTTAATTATAATAAAAATATTATGAATGAGATCATTTTGATTTGATAAGCGGCCGACTGACCAGAGAGAGAGACGGTTCCACTTTTTTAAGCATGAAAACAAGCGCGACATTAAACGCACATTAAAATGTTTTATTGCACAAACAACAACAAATGCACGTTAATATATGTACATATGTGTGTATATAGGTGTGTGTGTGTGTGTAGAGATATACTATATGTGCATTAACAAATGCTTGTACTAAGCCAATTTGTTTTCTTTTTCGGTTGTATTTAATGGTGCATTTTACTTTCATTGCGATTAACATCATTTATCGCGCTTTTACAAAAAAAGAAAAACGAACGACTGCTGGAAATGATTTACACTTTACTATGGACACGTTTTTAACATCCGATAAGTGTATATCACTCAGTTTGTTTCATCGCCGCTGTCCAGCAATTGGTCGTCTTCCTTGAGCTCCTTGTCCTGGGCTGCCCCATTGCCGCCGCCCAGCTGGGCCAGTGCACTGCGCACTGCGTCCTCGTAGTAATCACAGCGGGCGGACAAGCTGGAGCTACAACTCACGCTGGACACGATGCTCGACAGGCTGGCACTCGACTCGCTGGCATTGTTCTCCATGGAGGTGCTGCTTTGCGCACCGGACAATTGTCGTCGGCGCTGGCGCTGCTGTTGCAGTGCGTCATACACGTAGTCATAGTCATAGGTGCCCTCGGGCCTGGCATGGAGCGGAATGGGAAAGTTGTGCAGCACCTGGCGGAATACCTCATAGCGATCACGTAACTGAGCGTCCACCTCCTCGCTGCGTCGCTCCTCGGACTGCAAAGAGTGCAGTACCGAGTACATGAACACGCGATTGGCAATGTGGCAGTCGGGCAAGAGGCTACGCTCCACTCCCTGATTGGGGCACATGCCGATGACCGGGTGGGTACCAGACACAAATACCGTGGTCGGGGCCTGAATATGAATGCAATAACGCCTTTCTTCTGCGGACAGCTAACTATTTTTTACAAAAACAAAAACTTCAATTTAAAACGAGCGGTTAATTTTTCATATACATATATTAACTAAATCAACACACGAAATAAACTGGGGCAGCTTTGTAAAAATATTACATAATTAATTCAAATTCTAAAGCATAAAACAATGCCAACTAAAGCGCTAAACATAAAAAAATAAAAAAACTAACATTCAATACAATAAATAAAGGCGGAAGTATAACCATTATTATTACCGTTACTGCGCTCCATTATCCGAGAGTAATTCGTTTTAATTGACTGAATATAATAAAAATAAATGATCAATTTGATTATAAAATGAAAATATGCATATTCTACAATTTAACTTGTTTGCATTTTTAATGACATTTCAAAATAACGATACTTCTCTGGATTAAGCATATTTTTTAATATTTTCTTCATCGTTATTCAAAGCGAATCTTTTTCTCTTCTATCTCAGATTTGGGTATCTTGTATCTAACTTACATCCCCATCTTCCTAATAAGTCATATACCCATAAGTCTGTACATTTTTGCAACATTTTTATATGCCATTAAACCCTAAGTACAGTTAAATGCCATAATGGACAATAACCGTGCTTAAACTGCCATAAAATTGTCGAAATAAGTGAAATTAAACAGCGTATCCACATTTTATAGTACTTAGTTGTGTTATACTTTATTGAAATACAAAATGTAATCGAATGTTTAGGCATTTAGGCATAAATGGAATATTTGTAATGAATATTCAATTATAACAAAAAAGGATAGCAATACGTGCGTGATTAACGCCAGAAAGGACACACGTAATACTGCTCATAAATAACTATTACAAACACAAACAATGGGGCATAATTTAAAAAAACGTTGGGAAAAGAAAAAAAAAATTTAATTGAAAAGAAAACAATGTATAAATGCATGTAATTATGCATGTATTGATGCTTAAACATTTAGAAAGACAGTTATGGGACAATGATCGCTGCCCAGGCAATGGCTGCGCATCACATTGTCCACGATGCGGGAGACAAAACGCTCCGAGACAATGCAGTAATCCAAACGCCAGCCAACGTTTCGGGCACGCGCATTGGCCATGTAGGTCCAGAAGGTGTACGCACTGGTGCGCTCCGGGTACAAGTGCCTGAAGGTATCCACATACCCAAGGGCCAGTAAATCAGTCATCTTCTCACGCTCCTCCTTGGTGAATCCAGCGTTACGTGTGTTATTCTTTGGATTAGCCAAATCAATCTCTGTATGCGAAACATTCATGTCGCCACAAATGACAACGGGCTTTAGTGCATCCAATTTTTGTACATACGCCTGGAAAAGTTGCTCCCAGCGCATGCGCATCTCCAAGTTGACCAGCTTGCGACCCGAATTTGGCACATACACATTGATTAAATAGAATTTCTCATACTCGGCGGTGATCATGCGTCCTACATCATCAAACTCCTGATTGCCAATGCCATATTCCACATTTATGGGCATTATTTTGCTGTAGATGGCCACGCCCGCATAACCGCCGGGCATGCAGAGCCAGTATGGATGGTATCCGGGCAGACGCGTCATCTCATCGGGTAGCTGATCGTTAACGCATTTGGTTTCCTGCAAGTGAGTTGTTATATTTGTTAAAAAGGTTTTTTTTGATATTCTTTGATATAAATTTGTGTATGGTAATACCTGTAAACAAAATATGTCAGGCTCTTCAAAGTCCACAAACTTTAGACCATCTTTCTTCAACCAGGCGCGCAAACCAGCCACATTCCAGCTAGAGATTTTCAAGTTGAATGGCTTGTCCGTTGGCGACGTGAATAGACTTTTCTCATAACTTCCAGCAGACTCTGCCTCCACCTTTTGTGTTGCTGCTTTTTTGGCCTTGGACGCTGGAAAACAAAAGTTAAGCACATTTTGCAAACTTTTCAATACCGCACCGCCACAGCCGGGCTCCATCAACGTACTTATTGAGCCGTCAGCTGCATCGGCTGAAACGGCATTACCATTCTCTTCAGCGCCTGCAGCTGGTCGCTTTCGGCCGCGTGCTGCAAAATAAAAACGGCTATCTGGAAGCTTGCTAGAATGTGCAATTTTTTTTTACATACCTGGTTTGCTCGCTGGCACGTTTAGTTCCTCCAGCTCTATATTCTCGTTGACTCTCTTTTGCGTACGCTTTTTGCTGGTTGCTGGGACATCCACACTTGGCAGATCCTCCGGTGGCTGATTAGTTGCTGCTTTCTTGCCGCGCTTTTTGGCCGGCACCTCAACATTTTCATTGTTGCCCTTTGCTTGCTTGGTGCGCTTCTTGTTTGCTACCTGTGTTTCCGGTTCTGGCTCTGGATCGTCCTCTGCCTCTAGCACCTCAGCGATTTCTGTGTCTGCCAAACGCTTCGTACCGCGCGCACGTTTTGTTGTTGCTGTTTTTATTGTTGATTCTTCAACTGCGACTGCAACGGCCTTTTTAGCTCTGCCCTTGGTCCCAGGCGCAGTCAATTCTTTTTTAGCACGTCCCTTCACTTGCTCGGCTTGTTCGGCTGACTCGGTAACAATTTTTTTCTCTGGCTCCTTTTTGCGTCCGCGCGCTTTTGAGTCTGCCTCCTTGGTCGGTGCGGCAGCGATAGCGGCCTCCTCGTTTAGGGATGTTTTTTCTTTCTTCGCGCGTCCTTTACTTACTTCAGGATCTTCCGGTACTAAGGTTTTCTCTTTTTTGGAGCGTGGCTTTGTTGCCTTAGTTTTCGGTTCGTCATTGACCTCTGTAGCCAATTTCTTGGCGCGACCTCTTGGCTTAGGCGGCTCTGTGTCTTCCACAATGACTTCTACCTTTTCAGCGGGCTTTCTTTTGGTCCGCACCGCCGGCTTTTTTGCAACAACTTCAATTTCTTGTGCATCATTTACTTCCCCAGCAGCCGTAGCAGCTGGCATTTTCTTGCTGCGCGCTTTGCTTTTGGCTGCCGGTTTAGTATCATTTGCGACGTTAGCGGCCCCCTCTTCTGTTACAGTCGAGGATGAAGCATCGTTGCCATTTGTTACAGGCAATTCCGACGGTGTTGTTTTTTTTGCAACTTTCGCGCGAGGCATATTTAAACAATTATTTTTTTGTTGTTGTTGTCGATCAATATTTTGATCACGAAATTTCCAACAATGTTTATCGCTTTCTGCTTACTTTGAAAATGCGGCCAATGCCAAAAACAACCGACCATTAGCTCTGCGCGGGCAATGGCAATGCCATCCCAAGCCGGCACCTTTTTTTAGCCCGCGTGAAGTTGGCAGCAAAACATCGATATAACCGATTGCAGAATTTGAAGAAATAAATAATTGACTTCTAAATAGGGTTTTTTCTCCTCAAGTTTGCTTGAAAAATGTGGTTTTCCTTCATGGAATATTTTTCGGTTCTACATTTATGCTGTCAAGTAATATACACAAGTACTTTATTTAAAAAAATAAAATTAAATAACAAACAATAGCCATTGTGATTTGCATACCAGTCCCCGTGAAAGGGCGATATCGATATATACAAAAAATGAATCTGGAAACAGTCACGGCAAGCCAACTACCGATAACATCGATTGTGTCATCGATTGTTTTTTCAGCACTACCCGCTGCATCTTTTATTTAAGTTTTTACCTATAAATAATTCGTTTTGGCAACAATTTTAAGTGTTTTTGGTGTAATGAGCGTATAAATTAAACTGCGCTAAGCAGCATTAAACAACAAAGCGCACAAGTCAGCTCAAATTATTAAGTGGATTTGCATCAGCAGTCATCATCGAAACAGCATCTCGCAAAAATGCCAAGCGAAATAATTACACTGCAGCTTGGGCAATGCGGCAATCAAAGTGGGTACAATTTGTAGATTGTTGCGTTCTTGTAATTTGTGACATCATATAACATTTTTTAGTTGGCTTTGAGTTTTGGAAGCGGCTCTGCTTAGAACATGGCATCTCACCGAGCGGCGTTCTTGAAGAATTTGCCACCGATGGCATGGATAGAAAAGATGTTTTCTTCTATCAGGCGGATGATGATCATTATATACCGCGGGCAGTGTTGCTGGATTTAGAGCCTCGCGTTATTAACACCATTATGACATCGGCTTATTCCAAGGTAAGTAGCCAACGGAAAAGCTTCTTTAAGTTTAAAAGAAAAAAACATATCTGTTTTTGGTTAGCTGTACAATCCTGAGAACGTGTACTTGTCTAAACATGGCGGCGGTGCCGGCAACAACTGGGCTTCTGGCTATAGCCAAGGAGATAAATTGCAAGAGGAAATCTTTGATATAATCGATCGCGAGGCAGACGGAAGCGATTCGCTTGAAGGTTTTGTGCTTTGTCATTCGATAGCAGGTGGCACTGGGTCGGGAATGGGATCATTTCTTATGGAACGCCTGGCAGATCGTTATCCCAAAAAACTTATCCAAACTTACAGCGTCTTTCCAAATCAAGATGAAATAAGCGACGTTGTCGTACAACCCTACAACTCGATGCTCACGCTTCGCCGCCTGACCACTGCTGCAGACAGTGTTGTCGTGCTGGACAATACGGCTCTCAATCGCATTGCCTGCGATCGTTTGCACATACAAAACCCAACCTTTACACAAATTAATACTCTAGTCTCAACCATAATGAGTGTTAGCACAACAACTCTGCGCTATCCATCCTATATGAACAATAATCTCATTGGCCTGACGGCGCCATTAATTCCAACACCACAACTGCACTTTCTGATGACTGGCTACACACCGCTGACCAGTGATGCTAATCTTAGCAATCATGTAAGTGTACTGTATTACTTCCAGCCAATTAGAATTTGACCGGACATCTGACTTGATTGCGTGTCCGAATTTAAATAGAAAATGGCAATAATGTTTACTATAACTTCGCTGTAAATCATAACATAATTACTTTTAGCATAATCCATTGTCTTCGCACCAGGCCGTTAACGTTCGGAAGACCACCGTGTTGGATGTGATGCGGCGTCTCCTGCAGCCAAAGAACATGATGGTGTCGACAGGCCCCGACAAAACTAATCATCACTGCTACATATCAATACTAAACATCATACAGGGCGAGGTGGATCCCACACAGGTGCACAAATCGCTTCAGCGTATACGAGAGCGCAAATTAGCGCAGTTTATACCGTGGGGGCCAACTTCTATACAGGTGGCATTATCACGTTCCTCGCCCTATGTGCAAAGCAGCCACCGAGTTTCGGGCTTAATGCTGGCCAATCACACGAGCATTTGCTCATTGTTTGAGCGCACCTTAAATCAGTATGACAAGCTGCGAAAGCGTGGCGCTTTTCTGGATCAATTTAGACGCGAGGACATCTTTAAGGATGATTTGAATGAATTGGACGAGTCCAGAGAGATCGTAGACGGCCTCGTCCAAGAGTATGAGGCGGCAACACGCACGGACTATTTGCAATTTTCAGCGAATAGGCGTGGTGCCAAAATTGAAGGAGCAGGCGATACAAAATCAGAAGATACTAAGTCGTTAAACAGCGCAGATCTTTGAGTAATTAAGCCTTGTGCCATTTATGTGCCATGGTCAAGAAACCAAGTATTCTACACTTGCTCGAATATACATGTGTGTGTTTAATTATTTATTAATTATTGACACGCAAGGATTCTAAATCCTTCAAGTATTTATACAGCATAAATTGTTTTAAGTATCTAATATGTTCGTGTGTATTCCTGTTAATAAGTACACTGTCTGTATTTAACAGAACCGTTTCTGCACATGTTTTCATTTATTGCTAACTAAAATGTGCTCTAATAAAGTTAGTTGCAGTTAGAAACTCCCGAGAGCTCTATTCTTTGTTTTAAGTGTAATAACAGTTGGCGCAAGCTGATTAAAGATAATGGGCCGGATACGGGAAAGATAATCAGCAGTCAAATGCACTTGTTTTTTTAGCATTAGCTTTAAAATATAATATAATGCTTTATATTTGGTCTGAAGGTCAACAATTATGGAATGGCATAAGCAAACATACGAACAATCTTCGCAAAAAACAATTAGTATACGGCCGTTTCTTTCAAATTTGTTGGGAGGTAATTTCTTTAGTAGATGTGGTGGTTCGTCGATATATTACTGTGTTTATATTTAACATGTGAATGATTGGCTCTTTTAGCCAATTTTATTTTTCAATATATTTGCGTTATTTCGTTGCGCACGAAATTTCGTTACCTGATCTCATTGTACATTTTTTGAATGGAAAAGAACAAGTAAGCTTTCAAAATTAAATAAGTTTGCGCTGTTAATAACATTACGAAAAATGTTATTAGCCTTTTTTTTTTATTTGGAATGTTGCTGCTATTCCAATTGTTGATTGAAAAATGCATTGTTTATTTAAGCACCACTTTAATGGCGCCAAATACACCTGTTGCTGATGCAGAAAACGGACCAAAAGCACAAATCTCTACCTTCGCCGTGCTGGACTTGGAAACATCGAATTTGCCTGCATTTAACAATAATCGGGTTAGCATCACCGAACTGTGCATCTACGCCTTTGATCCTGCCGTCTTAAAAGACAATGTGGAACCAGAGGAGTCGAAACCACTTGACGAGTTGACGCCACCCTCGACTAAAGCTATACCCTTTCCGCCGAGAGTGCTGCACAAGCTGAATTTACTTTTCCAGCCGTCAATGACTGTACACCCAAGCGCCGAGAGAATCACAGGTCTGAGCTGTAAATGAGTCATGCATGGAATTAAAATATATTATATCACCCCTATGGCAGGCTTAAACAACTACATTTTGGAACGCGAATCCAAGCTGGACGAGAACGCGGGGCAAATGATACTGAGATTTTTGGAGCATTTACGCCCTCCTGTTTGTCTTATAGCACATAATGGCTGGGCATTCGATTTTCCTATTATAAAGCAAGCGCTTGACAAGCTGAATATTAATTTGCCAGCATCTACGCTTTGCGTGGATTCGTTGCGTGCCTTTATGGAAATCGACGATAAGCGAAGCGATGAAATATTTGTGGAAAACGTTTTGCCTACCGATATCAAGATTGAACCGGAAATTCCAGCCAGTACGTCGATTTGCGAGCCACCCGCCAAAGCAATCGACTGGCAGACAGTGAACGAAACCACACCGAAGCGTCCAATCCTGAAGGGTGCGGTAGCAACTCGTAAACGCCAGCTGTTGAACGATGACAATTGCAATAATGATATAGAAGCTGCCAAACGAGCACCCCGAGATATAACCGCCCGCCGCCAACTGTTTGCTGGCTTGAAATGTGCTCAAACCAAACGTATTCCACCCCGCGGACGCTATGGATTAGCCCATCTGTTCGAGCGCACATTTGAGAAATCTGCAGCAAATGCTCACCAGGCCGAGGCAGATGTAAATATGCTCACAAAGCTCATCCAATGCTACAGTGTGGACTTCCTAGCCTTTGCCGAGGAGCAAGCAATTCCATTCGCTAATGTCGTCCCAATTGGTGGCAGGTCACCTAGTTCTTAGTTGTTGTATTTAACATGTTTGCATGATAATCTTAAATATGTTGAGGGTTTTTAAAAGCAAAAATTGTAAATGTAATTTTAAAAGTGCTATATATTTTTATACTTGAACATTTTGCTGAGATCATAAATAAGCATGTAGAATTATAATAATAGTATATTTTATAAATTTTGATTTTTCGAATATTCCCTTTTTTTTAATATCCGTGGACACAATAGGATAGATCTGGTGAATTGATGTAGGTAGGTATTTCTGGTGTTAATAATTTTTACAACTTTTAAAAGTTCAAACAAAAGTTCAGTATTTTTAAAAGTTCTAATATACCTTTTCTTATTCAATATTTTGGACCTGTGAATTCCGTTTGTGGTACGTTGACAAAATATACTATTAACAAAATAAATATACTATTAACAAAATAAAACGCCCTTAATTTTATTAAATTCTCAATTACAATTAGAATCAATTCGTATTCAGTACAAAGAACAATTTTATCGATATTTATTCACTGTGTGCTCGAAATGGCGTACAGTCACAGTTATTTGTTGGCAACTCGATAACAAATCGGGTCACTGCTTCCAGTCAGCTGTTCCCAAACAAAGAATCAGAACAATTTACGTTGCAAAAAACAGCACACCAAAAGTAACAAAGATCAAAATACTAGTGTACCTATAAAGACAGTAAACTGAAATACGATTCATTTGTTGATAGTTACGCCATTTGACAAAAAGCACAATAACAAAAAGGAAGTGAACTATGAACTTGTCCTTCGCTGGCTGCGGCTTTCTGGGCATTTACCATGTCGGTGTGGCAGTGTGTTTTAAAAACTATGCGCCACATTTATTGCTGGAGAAAATCGGAGGGGCATCGGCTGGCTCTCTAGCCGCGTGCTGTCTGCTTTGCGATTTGCCACTGGGCAGCATGACATCCGATTTTTTCCGGGTAGTGAACGAAGCTCGCCGCCATTCGCTCGGTCCCTTCAGTCCCTCGTTCAACATACAGACCTGCCTGCTCGAGGGCCTACAGAAGCATCTGCCCGACGATGCACATAAGCGTGTCAATGGACGCCTACATATCTCACTGACGAGCGTCTATGATGGCCAGAACGTCATCATCTCGGAGTTCGAGTCGCGCGAGGAGGTGCTTCAAGCGCTGCTTTGCGCCTGCTTCATTCCTGGCTTCTCTGGCATTTTGCCCCCGCGTTTTCGCGGTGTACGCTACATGGACGGCGCCTTCTCGAACAACTTACCCATCTTGGATGAGAACACTATCACAGTGAGTCCGTTTTGCGGAGAGAGCGACATTTGTCCGCGTGACCAAAGCTCACAGCTGTTCCACTTCAACTGGGCCAACACAAGCATAGAAATCTCACGGCAAAATGTCAACCGATTTGTGCGTATTCTCTTCCCACCACGGCCAGAGTTCCTCTCAAAGTTTTGCCAGCAGGGCTTTGATGATGCCCTCCAGTTTCTGCACCGCAACAATCTAATCAATTGCCGACGCTGTGTGGCTGTTCAGTCAACCTTTGTTGTCTCCGAAACAGTAGCCCAGCCCCCAGAATTTGATCCAGAGTGTCGTGAATGTAAAAAGCATAGAAAGGTACGTAACAATTCTAGACTAGTAATATGTCAGTTTTCACAGAGAGAATGCTCCAACCAGAATTCCCGCACTAGGATATACATAGAGTACTATTTAAAAAAAGCAATTTCAATATTAATATATATTTCTTTATTTTTCTGCAGGACGCTTTGAGCTCAAATATGCCTCAGACAGTACTGGACGTAATACAGGACTACATTGAGCAGGCTAACAAGGGCTTGGCCAACTGGATCTTCAGGCATCGTGGCATTAAGCTGCTCTCGCTGCCAGCTACAGTACCCATGGACTTTTTGCTGGCGACAGTCTATAAAATAACCAGTCTAACTCCGAAGCTAACCAAGCAGATGCGACAACTTGTGTCGCAGCTAAATAATACCATTCAAATGCATCTCTTTAGTAAATTCCCGCTATACGACCAGCCACACTTCGACACCACAGGGCTGCTGCACTCCAGTCGTTTGTATGGACCGCGGGTATCGATACTGGTTGATGAATGGTGAGTCTTTCAAGGTGGCTCTTTCAAAATGTATTGGTAAAAAATGTGGTTATATTTACAGCGGTGCTACACCACTTAATGCGGATGTTGATAATTTTGAACATGTTCTCAAGATGAGCACGCACAATGACGCCTTGTATGCCTACTACTACACTGATAATAGCACAAACCATGTCAAAGTGACCGAAATATTTGATTTTGATGAGATGACGGAACACGGCCAGCTGGTTACAGATTTAGAGCTATACGAAGGCTCCGTCGAGGATCATCCCAATCCGCGTCAGCAGCATTCACATAATGCAGTTGTCAGCGAATGGAACGGCGTCGAATCGGGTTAGTATCAGTCGCTTAATTGTATTAGGTCACCATCATGCTTTATTGCCTCATTTAGATCCATCAAAAAATTTACTAAGCTGTTTCTTACAGTACAAATCATGCCTACCACACCCGAATTACACGATGTCGCCTTTTAAATCACTCGCACACGCACCCACACAGTTCCGAATTAGCTATCATAAACAAGCTAAACGAAAGTTCATATCATTGTCAGGTACATTTCATTAGGATTAGTTATATTCATTTGAATTTCACTTATTATTTAATCAATGTTTTCTGTTTATTAACTTTTACGATATTTATGCTGCATTACAGACTTTTTCATAGACTCTCAAACGCCACATTCGACAGAATTAGCCCTTGCGAGAGAGCATCATGATTCGCCTTACTTCAACACCTTCAATCTCGAACACAACTCGGCAGACTTGAATGATCCTCCGACTAATCAACCTTCGGCTAGCACGTCCATAAATAACAACGATTTGTGTATAGAAATTGAATGAGGGTCCCCAAACGAGAATCGAATTTGCATTTGTAATGCTACATTTCCAAAGCGGCTCCTAGCCAAGCGAAGAGCCTTATAGTTTCCGTTAGCTTATTATAATACTTATATATTAGTACGAAAACGTATGTATATGTAACTATGTAATTTTATTTTACATAAGCTCTGCTTCATCAATTTTTGAGATGCAGTGACTGCACATAATTAAACTTTGTTTTTTCTCAGATGTTCTCGAATATTGCAAGCTTTGAAAACATCAATGCTTATTGTCTTCTAATTAAAATATATATAATTAATAAAAATATACCTAATTTAATCTTTATTTAGTTTGTCATTAACATAGCTCAAATCGAGCTGGTTCTAATTATATGTTAGAAGGATTTATAATGGGTAGTCAAATTCCGATCAACCTGTTCAAATTGTAACAAGAACAAGAAGATCAAAGATTGCTCCTATGGCAAATGCACTGTCTAGTTGTAAGAACTAAAACTGCATTTTGTGAAGCAATGTATATTAAAGGCTTTACTAGAATACATATGCTCTCAAATACACATAGTAAAACACAATGCACCGGCAAAAAACAAATTGTGTTAATAAGTTTGGATGGCGTAGTTGATGCTATTTGGTCGTCAAATTACTTAAATTTAAATACGAGTATTAATTAATACCTTGACGGAAATACCTTTTTTGTACTGAAGACTACGCGGATACAAAAACCCAACTCAACTTACCGCTCTGAATAAAGAGAAATACCCTTAACCGAACTAGGTTAGATAATACGAAATGAAATCTTTGGATTTGGCAATTTGTTAATTCTTATTTTAATTATAAAATTCGTTGCACAATTCTTGCTTTCATCGTCCAATTGCATTGAATACTCAAAAATATGATATAATTCTTTATAATTTAATGATATACATATTTATAGACTTCAGATACTACAACATATGTTATATACCTATTTATTAGATTAAGAATAACTACAATACATACACGACTCCTCTAGCGGTTTCTCTATAAATATAGTGTATAAAAGTGCAGATGCACAAACATAAAAACGAAAACTTACACAATTTTTTAGTTTTTCCTCTTTTGGATATTTAACATAATTGCTTTATTCATTGTTGTGTTTATAAATATAGTGAGAATTTTTGTTATTTTCAAAGCTTTCAAAAGACTTGTTAAAGTGGCATATGCCCGTAATTAACTGTACAGTATAAAAAGGGTGTAAAGAACAAAACTTAAAGCCTATGCTTTATACAAGGGAAATTGTAAAATTATCTTATTTACGTGATTTGCCCGAAACGCCGACATGTACGCAATATGCGGTTCATATATAATTTAAATTTACAGTACAATTTATAAATAGCTGCTATATATTACTTGTACATATGTTTAGCTATGTATGTTTCCTAATCTGTCTCATGCGTTTTCTGATTGCTTGTAATTTATGTGTGTGCTTGTTTGCCTGCGTATGTAGGTGTGTGTGTGTTAGTGTGTTGCTCTTGCGTTGTGTCAAGATCGTAACGGAAAGACTTATTAAATAGCAGCGCCCGACACAGACACCACAGCCAAGCTTAAAACTAACCTATATGTATATACAATAACTAGCGACACTTGCTCCTCACGTCTGCGTACGTCGCTCGTACTCGCTGCGCCTGTAGTCAGCGGGATAGTCGCGCGGCATTACCGGATAGCCGCGTGATTCATTCCGATAGCTCGGGGGCGGCGGCGGCAATCCAGGTACCATGCCATTCTGCAAATAATAATTGGGCGGCAGGTAATGGCTCGAGTAGGCATGCGGCGGCAGGGCGGACGGGTATCTGCAAGGGAGAATCAATTAATCCACATTAATGGAAACAAATCTGAATATAGCCCTAGCTTCTAGCAATAAATTGTTAAGCTAACGACAATATACATATGTTAATAATTAATATCTCAACACGGATCTCTTTGCCTTGACCTCACACAATAAGAGCTACGAAGCAGAAATTTTACTGTAGTTACTTTTTGTGATGAACTTGCACTTGCACTTGATGGCTTTACAGATCCGATATTTAAAATCACTATCAGCTAAACTCACCTGCGCTTGTCTGGTCGTCGCTCGCGATCACGTTCGCGATGGTCGCGATGATATCCGCTACCGGCAGCACCTCCGCCTCCGCGAGAATATAGTGAATCGTAGCGTTCGCGTTTGTAATCAAAGTTGTATCTAAAAAAAGTTTGAATAAGTTTTTGAAAATGGATAACGTCTT